TGCACATCCACTCGCACATTCAACAAGATGGTCTGAGCGTCAATGTTCGTCATCATAACGTTAAGGGCGCTCGCATTTCTATGGTCGTTAACGATTGTCCATCAACGTGCTGGTCACTTATTTTGGCTAATCGACAAACTTTTTGTTTGGAAACTTGTTACTAAATGGGTTCAGGCACATCCGTCCATAAGTAAGAACCTCACTCAGCTACATAGTCGCACACACATAAGGTTTTCTTTCTTTATGACGTATGTTATGTGTTAAGTCGTGGCTTTATTTTCATTTTTAAAACAAAAGTCAATGGCGAAACTCGTAAGATCCGCCATCACAGTGACGTTTTATAACTTGCGTATTAAACGTGCATCTGTAACACTTACTGGTCGTATTCCGACAATGGCTCCGGTACATATCCTGTCACGACCTCAGTCATTCGGTTCGGATTTTCCTCCTTACCAACGGTCTGCGACGCCTGCGTGGTCCGCTCCACCTGACCCGAGGCGACCCCCATTACGTCTCCCCGCCCTGAACGTTGGGCCCACCGTCGGCGCGGTGCATCCGTTTGCCAAGGTCGCGTGATCGTGCACGTGTTGGCCATCGCGGGCCATCTGCCAGAATGGGAACGATAGCCATTGTGTGAGCCGGCCGGCCGGGCGGGCGGAGGGCGAGGACGTGGGGGAGCCGGCGCCCGCCGTTCGGCCCTCTCACGCCGCCAGCGCCGGCCGGCCGGACCGCTAGCGTGTCAGGACGCGATTCGGCGGGGCCTTGGCTCCGGGCTCGCCGCCACCAAAGGCAGCCGGTCTAAAAGCCGCGCCAGACCGGCTGTCGTGACTAATTGCACATAATCGCAGCCATTCGACGCCGCGCCGCGGCTCATTTCGTGCTCACTGGGCCGATCTGAAGTCACACTGACCTTTGCGAATTAATTTCTCTTTGCCTGTTTCTTTTATAAGTTCGGTGTTAAGTAGAAAATGTCGTCATTTTGCAATGAGTCTTGTGATTCGTTCTTAGTTCATAATTGCATGTGATTATCGTAAAGCTATGTATGCTCGCAAGAGCTTCTTTTTTAGAATGTTATATGAGGTTATGTGGGTTTTGTAAACAGTTGAATTTAGGCATAGTGTATCCACGTGCACACTTTTTGTGGATCCTCAGTCAAATACAAACGAATAGAGCAAGAGGTGGCGATCCCTGACTTGAGCGCAATCATGAAAAGGCGAATGTAAGTCGTGGACTAACATAACCTGCAAAATTGTATTCAAAAGCTACATATTGAGATAAATATAACCTAACTTTATATCAGCATATACACATGCATATGTACAGATACATCGCCAACCTATCCAGGAGTATGAAAACAGGAATAGTGCCAAAACTTGGTGCTGGACAACCATTGCCGCCGCGCGTCATGGACTGATCCGCTGGAGAGCAACACTTATGCTGTGCCGTATATGTCAATGTCGTCCGGTGCAGTATACCACTTGATTTATGGCTTCGAACATGCTGATGCAGTCTCCGTCTGAAGTGCGACGGAACACACGCTGTTGATCACGTCGCCTCGCAGTGCCTGATGAGTGATGGCATAGACTGTGCCGCATGGTTTTGTGCTGTACGGAACAGTATACCACTTGATTTATGACTTGCACATGTGCGTTGAAGTCTCTAAGTGGGAACTTATCTACGCCCGAATGGCCTCCGCCTTGACTGCTGTTGGCTTTGTCACGCGGTTTTTATGGCCATTCATGTGAATTCAATATATTGCAGTTGACATTGCGTAACAAAATGAACAAACTGGCGTTTCCATCAGTATTCAGGACGTCCTATGAAAATCAGAGAGCAAGCAACGATTTTCTACATGTAGCAATGCTAGTTGCAGATGTGTAGGGTTAACATGGACGGCCGATATTCTGAGCACTGCTCGTTGTCGGACATGGCAAAGAACTTTCTTTCATTGGCCAAATCCCCGCGAGCATTGCTGCTGACCTACACTGGTAGGCTGGCTGTGGCTTCGTAAGCGCAGCCGAACAGAAATTCGGTTGCGCCTGGGAAGGAGATCAGAGACACCTTACTGCGCTCCATTCCACTCAGTGCAAAGGTTTTGCGCTAAAATTGCCACAATACTCGAGCTGCCGTCCAAGTCCCATATCTGGCTTGTACGCCAATGTTGGCCAGCCTTCAAACGAGTCGTTATGCACCACTGCACGGCTCCCCAAAATTTGTCTCGGTATTATTAACGCGTCCAAATTTGTATTGAGTTTCTACTCCACACCTACACATTACCATCATACTGGCATCACCTCATCTAGGGAGTAATGCGACGATGGAAATGGTTAGAATTTTTAGTACTTGTTCATACATTTTGCGGCCGTCGTTCAGCTCCACCCAAGCTTTGTGGCCATGCGAAACCCTCCCCCTATCTGAACGTGAAATGGAAATAGCATCCCATTAGCCTGAAGCCGGGAGCCACCGTCATCGGCAATGTGCGGGAATATAAAAAAGATCCCAAATGTAATGCAGCGGGAGCTCCTATGTAGTCAAGTCACACGTCTCACGTTTAATATAATCGCGGTACATAGAGAAAATCATCACTTGCTGTCCGATTTTGACCTTTCAAGGTTGCTTCTAGGCTCGCTGCAATTAGATTTTCCGGTTCAATAGAAAAGACCCATGGCCTAGTAGAATGTAATTTTGAAAATGACCTGACACCGCGTTCCTGACCTGACCTGACACCTGACCTGACCGCGTTCACGGCAACAACAGTCATATATTTTGGATGTTGTAGGAACACTTAAAAGCACACTGAGTCTGGGAACCACGCCACCAATGCTGTTGCTCATTTCAATCCTTCATTTGCTGGATCATTTTTTGCCTTCCATTTATTTGTAAGTTTAACGCAATGCCTTCATATGTTTCCGTACCAATCAACCGAATTCAAGCAGCAAAAGATACCCCCGCATTGTATAACTCGGCACATGCCACTTTGTTTATCTGCAGGTCACCGGGTACGTCACAAGTCAGATCAGTGTTCGATGATATAATTTTCCTGAAAATTTGTTCAGGTTCATATATCTTTTCCAAAACCATCGCAACAGCACGACGAAATGGAACTGCAATATGTTAATGAGGACTCCTGTTACATCGCGGTCTGACATTATGCACGTTTATACGTCCGGTACGATCTCAGGTCAAGCCATATCGAAAGATTTGGGTGAATTTGTCCTCAAAGATATTTCTATACCCGTCGTTATGTTGACTTTTGCGCATGGTATTGGAGACATTTAGATGCAGGATGTCTGCCAAATATATCAAGCATGCGTTATGACATGTGATTGTGTGTTATGTGTGACCTTACGGTCTCGCTGAGAAAAGAACCAAGGGACGTTGTCAGCGCTTAATTGCAGGACACCATCTCAACGTTGCTGGGCCTAAGACGGCCTGAAACTTAAAATAAATCCCTGCCAATTCGTGGCATAGACTGCAACTTTTCGGTGTGCTTAGGTACATCGTAGAAGAAGTAAAAGACAAAGCTAAAACCATTATTTCTACAGGAAGACCATTTCCAATTTACACTGGCATGACCTGGGATGATCTGAACTCTTAAACAAGCCATTTCTTCAGGAGACATACCTGAAATATCTAGCCAGTTGTAGTATTGAGAGGTATCTGTGAACTTTCTTGAAAACAAAAAAATGAGTGTAGTGCTGGCGCACGGCGTCATGCACATTTGTTGATAACTGGGGCAAAAATTTTAGGTAGCTGGCATGTTTGTTACGAAGTTATAGACGGAAACGATGAAGGGAATGCTGAACGCCCACTCCTCTCCTAGGGCATGTCTGATTAACGCTGATGGACTTGGGTTTGATAGTGTATGACAGCCGCATTCGTAATTAGCATGTGCGCATGCCTTCAGATGTAGCGCACTACAAAGTTGTGGCTTTTAATATGGTGATGTTAGCATCGTCACAACACAATCCCCGCTGGCCGGCGGTTCTTGCTGCGCGAGACCCCAGCCTCCCACCGACGCCATGGGAATTATGCGGCCGACCGGGCCGCAGGTTTTTGTGCTCTGCGGAACCGTTACCATTAGATTTATGACTTCTGAAGGAGGCGTAGAAGTCTTCAAACGCAGCTAGTCCTGAGCGAATGTCTGAAGCTATTCCTAGCGGCATTTGTAAATATTTTAAGAGCACATACGGAAACCGACTTTATCATCGGTGCCGGAAATATTGTCATTCAAATATAGTCTCTTAGCGTCCACGAGTTCCAAATTTGAAATGCATTCCTGACGCTATGACGTGGTTGCCTGCCCGATGTCTTTTTGAACTTGGTACTCAGTGCATTTCAGCAAAAGGCAGCATGACGTCAAGGGATGATTATTTTTAAATTCGCAAACTCCTCTTCTCATCATTTTTAAGCGAAAGAGATGTCTATTGTTTAATAAGACTAGCATGAAAAGAGCATCACAAAATGTGCAGTGCACTGCCAAGCATGCTCCAGTCTGGCATGCTGCATCAAAAGTGTTTACCTAGTGATCTCCTTTCTGCTTCCTCAGCCCATAGCTGCGCCTTCAACGTTGCTCGAAGCGGCTGTCATTAACTACAGTTAGTCATGCTTTTTTGCTTGGTATGTTGCCACGTCAAGTATAGGTACGCTACACACATTTCACACTGCACATCTATCTCACGTGAGCCTCTCTGACCTAAAGACCTCGTCTGCTGCTGCCATCCCCCAAAACGCAACGACGGGGCGAAGGACAAGTTTCAACTTCCGTCGCTAGGGAGCTCTGCAGGCGCGGTATCTGGCTCCGAACTCCATGGGAGCCGCTGTGACGTAGCGGCACTACAGTCTCTTGCGCACGCAGCTGGGGCGTTCGTCGGTCTGTGACGCTCGGCTCTCTGATTGGCTGGAAATATGCCTTCCGGGTTGGCCTTGGATTGTTTACTGTGGGACTTCTCTAGCAGTAAAATTTTATCCAGCACATCGTAGTGAAAAGTATACTCGTCAAGTAGTGGTGATCGTAACTTAGTGGAAGCGGTTGGTGGATGCGCGAGTGACTTCGGAAATTTATCCAGGATTCAGTGCGAACTGCTCGCGGTGCGTGTCGCGTGAGCGGTGTGACATGGGTGATAATAACATCGCGCTTCGTCCGTATTTCGAACAGAGTGGATTCTACCAGAGGAGCTCTGGCGACCAGGGCTACCCACCCGGCTTCCTCGGCTTCCCCAACTACAACCAGACCCGGAGTCAGGAGTCGCCCTTCAACGACGCGGCCAGTGCGTGCAAACTCTACCCCACGAACGATGTGTCGGCCAACGCGTACAAAGTCGACTGCTCCAAGGAGCAGAACGGCTACAGTTCCAAGGACCTGCCCAGCTGGTCGGCATCTGCGGCGGCCGTGGCCGGGGCCGGCCGGTTCCCGGGCTTGCCGGGCGCCGCCGTTGACCCGAGCCGGGATCGGCAGGCGGCCGCCTCCAACTGGCTGGTGGCCTGCAACCAGAACACGGGCCAGCAGAGCTCCCAGCTGGTGCAGCAGCCCAGCCAGTACGCCACCACGCCCATTTACCCGTGGATGGCCATCGCAGGTGAGTCGCGAGTCGCCCCGGCCTCCCCCGGCCGCCGCGACGTGCCGCCGCCCGCGCCTGCCGGATTCCTTTAAACTCATGTTCCTTTTGTTCGTCGCTTTCCGAGCCATTGATGCGGCCAGACCTGTTTTCGGCCATAAATAAGCTGCAGGCCATCTCCCCTCGGCCGGGCGCATTTGGCTTTGTCGGCGGCCCCCCGCTTTCAATCGGTGGAACGCCTGTACAAAGCTAAAACGGCTCGGCAAACCCCTAAATGGCTCCTCTGATCGCCAGCGCTCACCAGATTTTTACAAAGTAAATTGGATCGAATTCAGACTTAATCAGACGCAGGAAAATGGGAGTTGAGGCACTACCTCATTTGAATATAATCTCAGTTATTCTCAGATCGACAGTGGTGGAATGGATACAGACCTGATGCCCTAAGACTGGAATAAAATCTTACCATGCTCATTGGGGCCAGAAATCCAGAAGCTAGTGTCTGGCACTCCTATTTTGAAATGCTGTCCGACACCCCCATTTCGGCCGTCATGTTATGCATATTTTTCGCAACTCCTTCATTGGATATAGCGTTATTTATGAAGACGCATTGACAGTTTAATTTTTCAGGCAGAGTTTCTGCTCCGGCTTTTGGCCGTAATTTAGCTGCGCCGTGAAATTAAATTTATCGCTCTTGGAAATATACCAAGAGCGCGCAGGGCTTAGGACAGAGGAAACACTGGGCTAGTGGCGGACTTTTTGCGCAACTCAGGCCTGGAGCACAATTGATTTTCGGTTCATGCCTAATATTCTGCCGCCGTTACTCATCCCGGCCATAATTTAAACCTCCTTGCGATGTCATCGCGGTCCGTCTCCAAAATGTTCAGCGACATCGTTAGACTGAAATACGCCGGCGGCTCGTGGGCGTCAGCCGGTGACGCGGCGCCGGCGCTGGCTGGCGGCTTATCGCGACGGCCGGCCGGCAGCCCGGCCCGGCGCGTCACCACATTCCAGTCGCGCTCATCGCCGCCATCCGCCCATTGACCTCCGCCAAACGCCGCACCGGGCCAGCCTCCGAAACCGGCCCGGTCGTCTGACCCCGCTCCCACCGTTGATCAATGGCAAAAAGGCGCGGGCCGCAATTACCGCGTCTGATTCGGCGCCTTTAACTGCATAATTACAGCGTGCGTAGCTGCGGTCGTCTAAGCATCGCGCGCACACCGTAACGGCCGAGCCCGATGCCGTAATGCGTCGGCGACGAGCCGGCTCGTCCATTATGCAGCCGTTGCGTGAACGCTAAGTGTGCGTGGCCGCCTGTTGGTTGCTGGGCAGCCGCCGTCGGATGGCTTTATTACAGCTCGTCCCAATCGCGGCTCACCTTCTGCGTTCGGAGGCTGGAGCGTCGCCGGTGGCCGCGGCGTCGGCCAATGGCGTTGCGCCGCTGGCACTTACACGCTCAATATTCATTAGTATTGACACGAGTGGGCCGTAAAAGTTTACCCAAACACGCGTTTTATTGGTGGGATGGCCGTTACGGGTGCCGGAATTAATCTCCCGGCGTGGTCCGGCCGAAATAAGGGATACGGGGCCGGGCGGCGGGCCCGGCTGGACCCGGCGCTCCACGACTCAGCGGCTGGAAAGGTCGGCCAGGTAGCGGCCAGGCCTGGCGCTCTGCTGACCGAATGATAGTAAGATAACGAATGGTAGCATGGTGTCTGAACGTCCACCCACCGCACATACGACGTCGCGGCCGTGTTCAGAACTGGTGCCAGGTGACCGAAGCTCGGTGGCAGTCCTAATTCAGCAACCGACCACACCATGTTGGAGACCAGCGAAGTCGCCTCCCGGCTTGCTGGCTCCTTTCTCGGCCTTTATCAAGTTTGCCACATTGTTTCAATACTGATCAATATATCTTAAAGTGGCAATAAAGCGGTGATAAAATGTCTATTCATTACATGGTGATTTCCAAAGTGACATCTGAAATGGGCCCGGCAGAGCAGTGGGGACTCTGACGGCGATTTTTCATTGTTATTACTTAGTTTTAGTTTCCATTAGCGCGCTAGCACATGAAATATGGTCTCCCCAATGAGAAGAGGCCAGACATTTTGAACGGCACGCGCAAGACCATCGCGACAAATTGAGCCCAGTCTGCTGAGAGAGGCTCCAACTTCTGCAGGGCTGAGGTTTCTGGTGTTCTTTAACTCGTCTTAATGCCCCTTCCGCGCAGAGAACCCAATTTGTTTGAGTGTAATTCATTTGGACGATTCCCTGCTCCAGAAGCCCTCTCTGCTACATATACTGGGTGTCAGCTAATTGATACAACGATATGGCGCGGCCGTCGGAAATAAATTTTCCAAAGTGAATTATAAATGCCCAGCTTGCGTGGGCAGAGCTATTTCCAAGTTGAGCCTGCCCAAGCGCTGTATGGGAGTCATAGTCTCGGCGCCTTCTAGCCATCTCGAAGTTCAACTTCATAGCAACTAGCACTCGCCGCATCGATATATTTTGTACACCAATTTGACTCATGGCAGGAAAACGGCTGTTTACGGAGAGATCGTGAGAGGGAGGCGCCCACACTCGATCAGCCTTTTTGCCTCCTGAGCGCGCTCAGCGGGGCGTCAATTGTCTTGTTCCGGTGCGAATTGCAAGAAATGGAGGGCAAGATTTACAGCGGCCGGCCCGCCGCATGTTTTTGCCACCCAGTTTTAGTCGGAAATTCGGCCGTAAATCATCGCTTTATAGGCTGAGCCGTCTCCGGCGTGTCCGATCGGCCGGCCGGACCACGATGGGATGGCCTTTTCTTGTCGCCGCACAAAGAACGGCCGCTGTCGTCTGCCCACCGTCTTGGGACCGACCGACCGACGCACAGCTGAAGTCGGGGGAGGGGGGAGGGGCCGCACGCGCGGCGGCGGCCGCGAGGCGCGCTCGTCGACCGCGCTCGCTGCAATGCAAACAGACGGCGCCGGCAGCCGCACTGTCCGGTCGCGGCTCGCCAAATTATATGGTATTACTGGTAGCGCCGTCCATCACCGCGCGCTGCGTCCCCCGGAGCGTGCGTCCGGCGGCGGCGGCGGCGGCGGCGGCGGCGGCGGCCGCGCCGGCCACACCCGGCCGCCGCCGCCGCCGCCGCCGCCGTGTCGACGGCCGGCGACCGGGTCGCCGCCGCCGCCGCTGCCGCCGCCCGCCCCGCCCGCCCGCCTGCCCGCCTCTCGCACGGCGGGGAGCGGCCGCCCGCGCCGCCCGCCTGCATATTTGTAACGCATCGCGGCCGCGGCTTTCCATATTCGTGGCGGCCGGGTCGTAAAGCGTTTTAGGGCGGCGGCGGCGCCGGCCGGCGGTCGCGCTCGACACCGCCAGGTGCACCGCCAACCTGCAAATGACGATCAATGTAAATGGTACCGTCAACGAGCCTCACGAGGCCCGGTCAGTTGTGTCCTGTGCCGGCCGGTCACTACGCGCGACCGGTGACAACACGCCGCGACACGCGAACAAAGACCGACGCCGCCACGCCCTCCTGATCTATTCGCATGCGGATATTTAGCAGAAGCCTGCGTCGTCGCGGGGGGGGGGGGGCTTTCCGGATGGCGGTATGATGCCGCGCCTTCGCGGCGCCGCCTCTCTGGGAAGATAATCTACATAACAACACAATGAGTTATTCTGTCTCTGGCCGCCGAGCCGTCACGTGTTCTGGAGCGAGGATTAATTGTGACCTCGTTAAGCACGGCCGGGTTAAGTCGCCGGTCTGACCGGCGCGGGCGCCGCGGGGCGCGCCGCGCTGCCCGCAGATGTTTCGCGCGCGCGAGTCGCAGTCAGCTGACGTCCGCGGCCGCCGGGACCGTGGACAGCTGTCCGCGCTACGGTTTATTTTACTTTGAAAACAGCGGCGCAGATCACAGACGGAGGAATTGCCGTTCTGTTTGAGCGGACGCCCTGCGACTTGAAAGGCGGCGACCGGGCCGGCAGAAATATGCTGTTTATTTTGAGTCAGCTGAATTTGCAAGACGCTGTTTAGTCCACGTCGGCTGCAAATATAGTGTTGTCTGGTCTGGGCTGTAGGCTGACCTGGGCACATCTGTATCGTGTGTCGGTATGACTCGCCTGGCAATAATCTACGATGATTTCATATCGCATTTGATTTATTCGTGTTTATGTTGAAATGCATAGCAGACCGGCCACGACCACACGGGCCAGATTTCTTTAACGGATTCATCTAGATGTGTTGGCAGCTCACAGTGAACTGGTACCCTCTATGACCCGTACTTTGGTCGCCTGCAAAATGGAGCCATTCTCATTCGAACGCGGATCAATTTCCCTTTCGGAGATTCGGCTAAATACTTACTCTAAGGGTAGGTCGAACAAGGCTACGACACAGGCTCGTCCTAAATTATTTTGTCACATAAATTGTGATGGTATGTGAAACGGGAGATTTATCTTCACCATAGGCCGTTAGTGGGATTCCGGGCTAAGGGATAATTAATTTGTAACTGAAGACGAATTAGCTAGTTTCAAATGAGCAGCTCGACTGGGAAACGTCCGCGTGCCGCTTTTCAGGGCATTGCTGAGCTTGGAGACTTCATCGTTAAGCCTCTAGCGAATGCAGAAGGCAGCCCGGTGCGCCCACGTGAATGCTTTGCGTCGTGCGATACTTTTGTTCCGTCACGAAAAGAGCGACGTTCACCGTCTGTTTACAACCCAGTTGGGTTTCCGTTTTTATGGCGAGTGGAACAGCATTGTCTTCGTTGGAATCGACGTTTGAGCGATAGTTTGCGGGTCTTTACGGGTGCTTTCTCGACCATTCTGGTTGCGTTAATGGACCATGATGGGACACCTCCTGACATTTAATGTGCCATGGCACATTAAGTGGCGCAGAAAAACCAGGGAAAACGTCAATATGCCGCTTTCAGTGGTCACAACAGCGATGCCGCTAACTTGGTCTATTTGGCAAATGACTTCGCCTTCTTAGCATGTGAGTTGGACAAGCATTTTTCCAGAGCAGTGCGCTGTCTGGATATCCGAGACATGCG